GGGATCTTTCTAGCCTTGAATCAGAGCCTGGACGGTGGTTCGGAACATCTTGAAGCCAGTTTTATTGGAAACAGAGCCAGATACAAAGCCAGACTTCAGCAAGCTTTATCTTTTCCCTGCTTTTTTCCCCCCTCTCTGCTGCAGCAAGCTAGGGTTCATTGGGGCCACTGGAAAAGATTTGATTCTCTCGAATTTTCTGCAGCTTTTGTGAGCACAGTACCATGATCCCCTTCCTGCCGACTCTTCCCCGTTATCCTTCCGTCTGGATCTCCCAGGAGCCCCTCTGTCCTGTTCTCTCCCCTCCATGCCTCTGTCCCCTGAGATCCTTGTTCTTCAATTCGGCCACTGAGCTGGAGCCAGCTTTCTGCCATCCTCCTGCAGGAAGGATTAGGCCCTCTTACCTCAGGCAGATTTTCCTAGATGCCCAGGGCAAAAGCAAATGCTATCTTTCAGCTTTGCACTAAATGTCACAAGCTGCAACCCCATCCCACTCCCCTGGTTTGATTTCCCTTCTTTCACAATGCTCCCTTTTAAATTTATCTTCTGATAAATCTCTCAGCATTCCCTGTGGTGAATACCAACGGCAGTAAAGCCTAACCTCTGTCGCTAATGCTGCCACCCTGACCTCCTTCCTGAACTCCAGTCCTCTTGTTTCTAAATATATGATCAACATTTCCTTTGCGTGCATTGCCATGGCCACAAACCCCATTGTCTTCCCAACTAAGCTATTACTTTGTTTCCATTTTCCATTAATGATATCACAATCTGATTCTTCTTTGTTTCTTCTACCCTTGTTCAATTAAATGCCAGATTTATAGATTCTACCCTAAAAGTTTTCTCCTTTTTTAATCCATTTCCTCCCAAGTTTCCTGGCACTGTCCTAGCAGATAGCTTGACTTAGTCTTTCCACTTTTGAGAGAGAAAGCTCACATATGGCTACAAGAACCCAATTAAGCCAGAGTTAACACTATAATAAGAATGAGAGGTTCAGCATTTCTGGAGATTCTAATTTAGGACCAAATGTTATTTCTACCAGTATTTTTGGAATGACTTATGTTAATCCTGAGAGGAATTTGAATGAGAATGAAGGTTTTGCAAGCACTGTAAAGAACAAATTATGTCAAGAGATGATATAGCAACAATTTTAAGGGGGAAATGGTCATTATTTTATCATAATCAATGAAATGTCAGTTCAGATCAATGGAAGCAACCGTGGTCTTATTATTTTAGTGAAGTCTTGGAAGAAATAATAAGAACAAATATTACGGTGTCAGATTATTCAGCCCTGGATGTGTGGCCTTAGTCAGGTAGGTTGGCCTCTCTGAGGTTTATCTCTTTCACTTACAAAATAAGAGCATTAGCCTAGATCATGCTTGCTCTCACTCTCTCATTCTCTCACTCTCTTACTGCCTCTTTCTATCTCTCCAGAGTTTTGTTTAAATATTTCACATATTGGGTTATCTCTCTTCATTCTGAAGAAAAGAATCTACAAACTAACCCCAGCTTTCATCAACGCCGCCCCCCCAACACACACACACACACACACACACACACACACACACACACACACATATTAGCTTATTTTTATGGTTGTTTCCTACGCTAAAGCCTAGGGTCTAAGTTCACTGATATTTTTATTTTTAAATTCTCATAAAAATGATTACATACTGAGATCATCTTAAAACTCTTTTCCTTACACGGATTATTGAAGAATTTACTTGAAATAGCCAACTGTTCACATGTCTAGAGCTGGAGGAGGCTCCAGGCTTGAGTGAGACAAGATTGTGGCCCTTTCGCTAATCACACTCTTGCCAGGTGTGAGTATGGGGAAAACTCTTGTAATTCACCTCAGAGAAAATGGGTCCCTGAAAATTTTCCCTCTTCCCTTTCCGTTCCACTGAGCTACCTTAGTACTTTATCTCTTCTGGTGATAATTCAGTTCAGCCGTTGTTGAGTGCCTTCTACAGGTAAGGCGTTTTCTACATTATTTTACATTATGTCCATGGCTAATTTCCCCTTCTGGAGGGTTACTTCTTTGAGGGGAGCCTTCCTTGTCTCATCTCTTTCTTACTCCTGTCCCCAGTGCCAGGCACAATGCCTTGAGCCCAGTTAATATAACTGACCTTTTTGATTGAAAAAAAAAAGAAAGAAAAAAAATGATAGAAGTGAAACACCCTTTTCTGAAGACCTTTTGATAAAAGTATCATTCAAAATTAACAGCTGTGATTCATTTGCTATCTGGGCTCTCTGCCATTTGTGCTCTTAAAATTGATATTATTTTGGGACTGGTAGTTCCTAAAACCAAGAATGGTGAGGTCTAATGGTGGACAATATACCATTCATGACCTCCAAATCCTAGAGAATTCCTTTTCTCTGAAACACTAAGATACTGAAATTTCAAACAATTCCCTGAAAATTCTTGGTGGGTTTGGAGTTCATTGCAACTCGAGATTTTGAGTCTTTCGATAGAGAAACCTGAACATTCACAAAGTTATTATTAAGGACATTTAAGAATTCCATTATTAAAGTTAAATTTAGGAGCACCTGGCTGGCTCAGTCAGTACAGCATGCACCTCTTGCTCTCTGGGTTGTGAGTTCTGGCCCCACGTTGGGCATTGAGCTTGCTTAAAACAAGTAAGTAAATACATAAATAAATAAATTTAATTCACAATTCAGGTATGTCTTTTGGTCAATTTGGGGACATTAAGGCAGTTAGTATATTCCTCAAAAATACAGTGGAAGAAGCATACATTTCACCCAAGTTTGCTATTTTCCTGATGTCAGATACAGATTGAGAATAAAAAGAAGAATGCACCATATGCTGTGTTCTCTATCCCACATCTTCATCTGACCAGAAATAACATCACATGGAATCCAATTCTCTGGTTTTAACTACAACTGAAGCAAGAAATGTGGGTTGTGGAACAAACCCAAAGTTCTACCCAACTATAATTTCCTGCCACCAAAACAGCTGATGCTAATTTGATAAGCATTTCCATTAATTAAATGTTATTATATACATTAAAGGAGATATATATATTTAGAGACAGAGAGAGAGGAGAGAGAGGAGGGAGGTTAGGAGAGAGAAGGAGATTCTTCTATTCAAAACAAATTTGGGGGCGCCTGGGTGGCTTAGTTGTTAAGCGTTTACCTTCAGCTCAGGTCATGATCCTGGGGTCCTGGGATTGAGCCCCACATCAAGCCCCACATTGGTCTCCTTGCTCCGTGGGAAGCCTGCTTCTCTCTCTCCCACACCCACTACTTCTGTTCCCTCTCTAGCTGTGTCTGTCAAATAAATAAATAAAATCTTTAAAACAAACAAACAAATTTATACTTCTAGTAATATGGGCTTTCATGGTTTTACATTTCTGTGTCCTCGTATTTTTCTTGTTAGATGTACTGTGGTTTAAGAAATGCAATATTTTAGGACCTTTTTTTATCATATGATCAGTCAACCAATTTTAACAAACTAGTGATAAAATATAATGTGTCAGATGACTTTCATCTAAGTTATAAAGACTATACAGTACTGTGATCTGTTGTTTTAAATTTTAAAAAGCCAAAGGCAGTGAAATATCTAGAGTGGTTATTTGAAATATTAATCATATTTTAAGAAAGCATTAAAAAAGTAAAACAACAAAGGCAATGGGTTCCCCAAATTAGTATCAGTCAATTGAAAACTGAAAACGTCAACCAATTAACTGGCTCTGTTATCGATACTTTGCCACCTAGTCAGTTTGGCTGACTCTTCCAAATCAACTGAGTCCCAGATGCAAGGAAAACTTACATAATTGTTAGTCATGGAATTTCCAAGAATTATTCCTACCAAGTTTCTGTAAGGTTGTGTTTTATTTGGGCCTTAATGACAGTGAAGTTTTATGGGATCCACTTCTTTATACATTAATAGTAGAAATCATTCCAATCAAGAGAAGCTGTAATTTAATACAGGAAAAAAAGAGCACTCACAACAGAAAAGCATGTGAAGAGTCAAATACTAACCAGTTGAATCCCAAAATTTTAACCTTAGGCTAACTGTGTTTAAAATGGATTTTGAATACTTAGACTGATGATTCTTAACTAGAAGATGATAGGCATTTTCACTGTTAATAATATCAGTGTGCTTCACCTCTGAGGCATGAATCTCTTAGGTATATTGGATGCCATTGAGAACCACCGGTATAAATAATGAATATACTTGCATTTAACAATGGGGGAAGTAAAAATGATCTCTTTAATATAAAAATGTAGGGGTGCCTGGGTGGCTCAGTCGGTTAAGCATCTGCCTGTGGCTCGAGTCATGATCCCAGGGTCCTGAGATGGTGCCTTGCGTCGGACTCCTTGCTCAGCGGGGAGCTTGCTTCTCTCTCTGTCCCTCTCCTTGATTGTGCTTTCTCTCTCTTTCCCTCTCTCTCTCTCCCCCCCCAAATAAATAAATAAAACCTTAAAAAAAAAAGAATGTAAAAAAATATAAAAATGTATAAACTAAGAACTTTTCAATGAGCCAAAATAAGATCTAATAAGACCCTAAGTGCACAACCATGTGTGTCATGAGTGAAATATTTCACCTTGCTGATGGGATTATTCTTTTCAGTAATTATATAGCAAGAAGGCAATGGTCCGGTCCAGTGGACACTTCAAAACATCTCAACTAAGTACCTGTAAAAACAAGACAAATCACAAGAACGACCACAGAACAACTGCCTTATTTCAAATGTATCTATCTGTTATTCACCAGGGCATCTCTATGATTAGTACAGTGGCTAGGACAGTCTTAGTTAGGAAGTCCTAGAAGCTTGTTAAATATTTGTTGAGTTAATAAACTGAATCATAGCTGAGTGAAATTAATTAGCTGTTTCCATAGTTACAATTCTATTATGAATTTTGAAAACCAATAGTTTTTGGTTGCTCAAGAGTCCCTTTAATCTTATGATTAGAAAAAATGACGAGGTTACAAACAAGTATCTTGCATTGATTGCCCTGTTTTGTTTGTGTGTTTACAGGCAAATGGACATAGTTTTGTACATATGGAACATGAAAAAGCTGTATTACTACTGAAGAGTTTCCAGAACACAGTAGACCTAGTTATTCAACGTGAGCTTACTGTCTAAATATTTTTTATAAATAGTGAAGATACGTCTAGCCAGACCTAATGTTCAAAAATAAATTTATACATAGAAACAAATTTTGCCATTTGCTGGACCAATGGCAAACATTAGTGCCAAATGTATAATAATATATGTTAGCACTGATCATCCTTAAAAATGTTAACTATATAAATATGATGTTCATGTGGTTATGTATTAGTTTTACTTGTCAGCCTCTGGCTGTGCATTGGTGCAGTTTTGTTTTTGTTTTTGTTTTTGTTTTTTAATCAAATAAGTTTCTTCTCGAAGTGGATTTCATATAATTTCGGAGCACGGAAGCACATACAAGCTCTTTACGAATTCTGCTCTCCATCAGAAACACTGCCTCAAAGTTGTATATGCCTTTATATAGAAAATACAAATATAAAGAATTGTAATTCCCATAAAATATTTCTAGCACAGGTATATGTTGGCATATATACAAAAAGAATATAGAGAAAAACAATATTTTCATAAACTAAACATCTCGGATTGAGAAAGAAACTATATCTTAAAATAAGACTTTACTATACTGAATCTTTTTCAATAAAAATTACATGATAATGCCTTATGAAAGTAACTGTACATATGGTATAAAGTGTTTATATTTGGTTCCATATTCATTTGCTAAATTCTCATAATACAGAGTGAAATATTTCATAAATTAGCCATTTATCTCTGGGACCGGAATAAAAATAGGACAAACTAATTTGTTCAATGCCTTTAGCTAATTACAATACACACAAAGAGTTAAGAAACAGACTAAAGTTCATTACAGATAAATCTTTTTCACCACAAATTTAAGCAGTGAATGATGGGTGGCAGGAAAGATATTGCTTAATTTCTTTCAAGTTTATGTTGATTATAAACTGTAGCCCATGTGATTTCTTTACTTGTAAATGTGGAATTTATTTGTGTGTTACTTTATCTAATTTGCTACTTTTAAATAATTTAAAATGAGTTTTGGAGATTGATAAAATTTTCATTAAGGAAGATCGTTGTTAGAAAGTTATGGTGGATGATTAAAAAACTTTGGCATTTAAATATGAAACTTCAAATATAATTTCTCAGAGCTGTGGTCTACCTGTTTTATTAAGTTTAGTGCCTGTTTTTTGTGGGCAAAAATAGAGAAAATACTTTTTTTTCCAAAAATGTTTCAAAGTATAATCCTGGGTTCTCTTATTGAGAGAGAGACAAGCATAGTTAATAGAGAATTTGTTATTTTTACATTAGAATTGTTTCCTCTATAAATAATCAAAATTCATTTTATAATCCTTTAAAAATATTTCTTTTATATATTAGTCATTAATTTGATTAAAATATTAATTTGAAATTCCAGAATAATTTCCCAGAGTTGGTTGTATGCATGCTCTCTCATATTTCCACATAGCCATATATATATATATATATATATATATATATATATATATATATATATATGTGTGTGTGTATATATATATATATGTATAATGGATTTAGTTTACATGGTAGTGTTTCAAGTATTCTATTAGGATTTTCACAATAGTATCATGTACTGGTGTCACCAAAGCTCTGAGAGTAATATTTGTAAGTTAACTGTTTTATGGGGACATTGAAAATACTGTATTTTTGTAGGGTCTATTAAAATGAGTGTCACTTATTAGAAGTACAGTGGTATTTTTTGGCAATAGAATTTGTCACTTGAAGGCAAATGATACTTCACTTTATAGATGATGCACTAATTTTGATGTTGCTTTACGTCAGGGTGACATTATACCATGATTTTATAGGGTTTGACATTTAGCAAATGATTAAATGATTGGCCTATTTAATACGTTTCCCAGAAGTAAGTTTTAAATGCATTTTAATATATCGACAGTTTCTGATGAGAAATGTCTTTCAGAGCCTAATTTCCTTTGTCAAAAACTGACACCAAACCATGGTACCACGGTTTCCAGCTGCTATTATAGGATGATCATCATTAATCAAGATGGTGGCCCCCACTGGCCTCACAAGATCACTTAAAAGAAAAACAAACTCCTGGGTGTAGTGTTGGCAATGAAGCATCTCAACTCATCCCATCAGTTCTGTTTAATCTGTTCTGGGAGAGGTCGAAGAAGAGTCAGACAGAGGACCACCCAAGTCTCGTCTCTTATGTCAGGTCTCCCCATCAGACCCAGGGCTCCAGGAGAGGCTTCTGAGGCACAGAGCTACAGGATCATAGTAAACACCTCTTCCACTCCTGATGTGACACCATTGTCCTGGCCCAGGGCTCTCATCCTTCCTGTTCTACAGGAAATGAGGAAAAGAAATGGGGTTCCTGACCCACTGGAAAAGAAATATGATGTTTCAAAGCACCTCATTGTCAATTGTACTGCCATGCTGCATACTGAGAAAAGGCAGGTAATAATGAAAAGAGACATTTTTTTTAGATTGATTGAAAAAAATCACTAATTACTCAAGGGGTTAAAAAATCTAATTTATTCCATAGGTGACCAAAACCAAAAATACATTAATTTCTGAGTATTGACTTTTGGAGTAATTGGCTTTGCTCCCTGAAATTAGAATCTGGTTTATGTTAGCTACCCCTTCCCACCAAAAGAAAGAAAGAAAGAAAGAAAGAAAAGAAAAGGGGGAAAAAAGTTAAAGGTGTGCCTTTTTAAAAAAGAAAAACGACGACAACAAAGGAGTGAAATTCATGATGATTCCAATAGATTTGCCTCTTGGTCTTTGATTTTTACTGAGATCTTTCTGCTGAGGAAGCTATCTCAATCTGGTGAATCAGTAAGACACAAGGAAGGAGAATGGGAAAGATCAGGGTGGAAAGAACAAGGAGCGAAAAGTACTGGTAGAATTCCTGCAGATTTTGCAAAGCCAAATAGACATTCGTGGTCAATTTTTAAAACTTTATATGGCTTAAAATACATTGCCAAAAAAGATCTCTTACAATAATTTCCACCTTCCAGACAATATAACTCACTTTAACAAAGAGAATAATTTCAAAATATAAGTGTACTTTTGACAAGGAATAATCAAAATCAGTATAACATACTGATATTTACATCATGCTAATTTATTGCTCATTGAAACCTATAAAATATGTGTGTCTCGGTTCATTAAAACTCTTAATTGCATAAAAACATCAAACAATCCTAGTTGTTTCTGGGTCTTACATTGGATTACCACTTTCAAGATGAAAAGCAGTTTTAAAGAGAGGATGACAAATCAGCATTAATTTGTTTTTAATCTGAAAGATGACTACACACATATTACTAATATAATTGCTTATTTAAAAAGTAGGACTGAAATATCTTTCAGTGGGTGAACTAAAGAGATAGTATACCCAGACAGAGGAAAATGAAGAAATTAGATTTATACCTTCAAATATTAAGTGAAAGTATTTGAATTTGCCAGAATGATCAGATGAAGGGAGCAAGAAACACATAAATCATCAAATCAAATACCTCTACCAAAATTTAAATATTTGGAAAATATAGTGTGTTTGTCACCTTGTCTTTTCATTGGCTTTTAATGCTGTGCTCGGTCAATTCCTGCCCCCTCACCGGCACCCAGATCAAGAATGTCTATTCTGATGGATCTGCTGTTATCAAGAGGCAACAATACACCATAACCAGATAAACAGGCATGCTGGTACAGGACCACCGCTCTAAGCCTTTGGTAAATTCAATCAGGCAATGTGTTTGACTGATTCTTGAAATACTGACCAAATAGCAGGCTTGCTGAAACATTGGGTCAGTAAAAGGTTATGCAAATAAGGAAATCCAGTCAGTTCAGAAGATGGGTCCTTTATCTAGTATCAAGAAAAGCAGGGTTGAGTTTCCAGGAAAGTTCCTCTCACAGAAATGCTAAATCTTTCTGAGGCTCAATAAAATGTTCAAACACTGGGTTGATGATGCGCCCTGTCTTATGGTTGTAGTTAACGGATCATCTGGGAATTGGGGGTTGAGGGGGGTGGGAATCTCCAAATTTTAGATCACCTGCATGAACTATGTTCCTTAGCAATATAACTGCTTCCCATTATGAAAAGCATCCTGCCTTGGCCCAGAATATTGCCCCATCACTCAGTTAGACTGTCGCCCAGGTATATACAATAGCAAGAAAATAGAATATGGGCTGGGGAAAAACAGACGTGCACTCTAGAAAGCACCATTATAGGAGACCATGGGTGTCCACTCTCCTGTGCATCCCTTCACCTTCATTTGATCTAAACTATCCAGAAAATGTGTTTTCTGAAACCCCCCACTGTACAGAACTCAAAGCAGATTCAGTCTACTGGTGCAGCTGCATTCTGAACCTTCTGGGGCATTTCCATTTCTTGTATGCAAAACTGACCTCTCTTCATTGCTGCCGTAGCTGCTATAGGCCCGTCCCTCGGACTCGCTATGATGTTCCAAAGGCAGCAGATGGCTGCTGACACAAGGATAAGAGGCCCCCTTAGAGTTCTAATTGTCTGGAGACCCTTGAGTATCTACGCATGGTTCCAGCTTCCAGTTTGGGAAGAACTTCCTTAGGTGACCAAGGAACTTGGAGTAGTAGCATTAACCCAGGTGCAAAGGTGGCGCATTTATGTCTCTGACAACAAACCAACCTTGTGTGCGAGGGTGGGGGGGGGGGGCAATGCCTTAATAGAACCATGGTTCCACTTCTGTTTTTAAAATGTTGACTTTTGCCGTACTGACAACTCTCTCTAAGCCTGTCAGCTGATTGTTACTGGGACAGGTTCCAATCTTCCTCACCTTTGACACTATCTACAAGAGAATGGTTTGGAAACATGCCCCTATGAGGGTATAAATTGCACAACTTCTACTTTGGAGAATTCAGAGATTTCTGATCTATGGAGGGGAAAGATACACTCGGCTTTTGATTAAAAAGAATAAACAAAAACCTAGGAATATTGAATTCCTCTGGATTCTTAACTATGTGATTATCATGATCTTTCCTGGGAGCAGTTCTAGGGGAAGTAAAGAGAGAAAAACTGAGGGGAGGGAAATAATTCACTGGTTCCAGCTTTAGAAGGTTTAGAAGCATTACTCCATCTGCTAGGGTTTCCCTAGTGGATTTTGTTGGTAGGGCAGTGAGCTCATACTTTGTAACGACCCACCGAGCATGAAGCAGGATGAGAAATAAGGCTGGATGTAAGACAGGCACAAAGAGAAGGGTATCTCTGCAGCTGTCCTGATATCTCCCCAGACTATGCTCCAAAACACCTTTTCTTGGCCTAATTTTGTTAATAGCAGCACCTCAAAGAGTGGAAGATTATGAAATCCAGGCAGTGTGTTTGTAGAAAGCACTGAAACCCTGTGACTCCTCTTAGTCTGGTGTTGGAACCAGTGTAGGCCAGGCCCAAAGAAAAAGCCATGGGTTGAACTTTTACGAGTATTATTTTCAAACCCAGCATAACTTACAACCTATGTGGGGATGATTACTGAGGAAAAAGTTAAATAAATCATCCAATCTTTCTCTAGTTTGAAGAGTAGATACATTTTCTTCTTAAAACTACCAGTGTTGCACAGTTGTATTAGTTGTGCCAGGTTTGTTTCTATTTTTTCCTTCCTCGTCTTTAAAATAACAGGAGTCAGCAGCC